GGCTAAATAAAAAAAAAAAAAACATGAATTTATAAATAATTTTTATGGGTATTTTCCCTCCCCAGATCTAAGGCTAGGCTATAAAATATAGGACTTTAGGGCTCCTCTTATCACAGCGCTTATGACAATGTTTCCAATTGTCCACCCTGACGGCAGTCCTGGTTCAACATTAATTAACAGCATTGCTTAACATTTCAACATTTACTAATACATTATTAAAAATCAAAAGTTGTGAACAGTTGTATTTTTATTACATAATGTTAACAAAGACACTGTAACAAATGTACTGCTAATGGGACTTTATTATTTATTACTTCAGTTTATAAACCCCTTGATGTAGCTATAAAACACTCTGCGCTTGAACACTACAAGTGAAGAAGTAACAACCGTTCTAATTAAAATACCAAACCAATGTTATGACAAAGAAAAGTCAACATACCAGAAAATGCAAATGTAAACACACAAAAGCATGGGAGGTGACCTGACATTCTACCAAAACAAAAACAGCCCGTTCCTCAATACTATCACATCACACATCCAACTTAACCCATTTAAAATAATTTCAAATAATTCTAATGAAAATACCACTTACATTTTTGTTTTAAAAACATACATTATTCTTGATAGCTAAAGGAATTAGTCCTATAAGAATGAGAAAACTATTTATTAATATTAGATATTAACACAATAATATTATTCCTTTAACAATGCTCTTAATTTGAGATACACAACTATATATGTTTAATCTACAAAAAATGACAGGTAGATTTGTAGTAGTTATTACAGAAAATCTAAAAAATAGGCACTATACATAAATGGTCACCCATGCATTTCTACAACAAGCACAATGGTAGTATCTTATGAATTGCTTTTTGGGATTTAAACCTTTAACCTTATAGTATTAGAAGCTCAATCTTTGAACCACTAAACCACGCCACCCCCAAACATGCAATATGGGAAACGCAGATTTGCTTAATTCCCACCGCTGAACCTGCATGAGGTCACTGCAATGCATCTAACGTTATCTAACCGTTTACACTGATTATGTCCCAAATAAGCCACATTACATCCCATCAGGCACCAGTGAGAACGGATCAGAAATCATTCTAATATGCTGATTTGCTGCTCAAGAAAAAATTAGTTGAAAACATTTCTGCTGCCTAATATTTTTGTCGAAACCGTGATACACTAGCATTCAAACTTTTGGGGTAAGAAAGCTAAAAAAAAAAATCAATACTTCTATTCAGCAAGGACGCACTGAATTGATAAAAACATAGACATAATATAGACATAATATAGACATAACATAGACATGATAAATAACATAGACATAATAATAATGTAATAATGTTACAAAATAAATGCTGTTTTTTGAACTTTCTATTCATCAAATAAAATATCATGGTGTTCACAGAAAATATTAAGCAGTAAAAACTGTTTTTATAATAATAATAACCATTATTAATATTTCAGCACCAGTAACAACTGATAATAACTGAGCAGAAAATCAGCATATTAGAATAATTTTTTAAGAATCATCTGACACTGAAGACTGAAATAATAGCTAATGAAAATTGTAAATTTTTTATTTACTCAGCTTTGGTGAGCATAAGAAACTAGTTTAAAAAATATTTAAAAATATTAATTATTCTTAACTTTTGACAAGTAGTGTAAACTAAAATAAATAACTAAAATAATAATAATAAAAATGACATTTTTTTATTTAAAGACATCGTGGTTTTAATAATTACAGCTAATTCTCTAAAAATCAGCTAATTTGCACTGTAATAGTACTATCCAAATAGTGCCATCGATCATATTAAATATGTACAGGTTATAGTATTCTGGAGTTTGTTTTAAAAGGGTCCGCCACCTTAAACTCAAATGCAGATATTTCAGGTGTATCGGGTGATGTTTACCTTTCCGGTGACTCCTCAAAGATGCTGTGACATCCCGAATTCTCCATCATCACACTGCGGTTCAGGTGTTGAAAATTAGCAAACGAGTATGACATGGGTGAAGTTTTACCTCCGTCCGTTCCCGCTGCTCTCTTCTCTTGGCCAGAGAGACCGTAGGACAGGCCATCCAGCGCCGGGTTTAGAGAGCGTGTCATGTAGGTGTCCGCAGACTGTGGGCGCCGAAGAGGGAAAGCAGGGTATGGGGAGAGCTTGCTGATGAGTGGAGTGAGGAGGTCTGCGTAAGCGGCCTTGGCGGGTTTAACAAGCCGATCCACATGGATATTGAGCATCTTCTGCTCAAAGGCGCAAGAAAAGATGCTGGGCGACAGGTTCTGGAGCCAAGAAAGCAAGCTCAGGTCGAGATCATCGCAGCCGTTCCCGCACAGCATGTCTATTCCCAGAAGAATCTCACTCTCTGTGATCTCCTCTCCGGTAGCTTTGCTCTGGCAGAACTCGACGCAGCATTCGTACAGAAGGCCTTTAATGAGAAGCTGGAATAGACGGTTCCGCCACCATGCCGCAGGCCTCCTCAAAACACTGCACGCGTGCTGTACTCGGGTTCCAGTCCTTGAACTCGGCATGGTTGGTGAGGCGGGGCAGCGTCAGGAGAAGGCAAAGCTTGCTGTAGTCCTCTTTAGATGGACAAAACTCTTCCAGAGCATGCAGACATTTCACAGCCTCCTGCATGGTCAGCTCCAACTGAACACAGAGAGACAGAATGAGAGAGAAGCCAGAGCCATTTGCAAACAAGCTCTAATCAGTTTCTCACATGGAGTTACCATGGTTTTTTGGACACAATACTCTCAAGATCAAGATCAAAATGCCAGTAAAATAAGCGTATCAGAAACCAACGTCTTTTCGACGTCTTTTCAACGAGTTTTTGCTGAGTGGGCAGTGTCTATGGTTTTTACCTGATCTCGGATCAGTTTCATCAATTGGTAGAAATTTTTAACAAGACATTTGTGTAAATAAAAGGATGAGAAGTAGTTAATATATATTTCTGGCCTATATATATACAAGCTCTCCATAAAACAAAACAAGCCCTGCAAATTAATATAAAATATTTTAAAAGCCATACAGACACTTCATATGTAATGTTATTTCGTCATTTTTATGGCATTTTTAATAAGGTTTTTATACATGTTTTAGCCTGATTTTTTGTTTTTTTTTGCATTTACACACTTTTGACCAGCAGCCGTCACCAGCATGTGGTGTTTCGAGCGCTTCGAAACAGTGAATAATTTTGTGCAGCAATTGGTTCAATTGATTCGAAGCTTCAAAAAGGTTCGTTTCGCCCATAGTACGCAGTTTGCGTTCAGCGGATATTAAGTCGTTATTTTTGTTTTCTTCGCGTACAAAAAGTATTCTCGTCGCTTCATAACGTTACGGTTGAACCACTGATGGCAGATGGTCTTTCATACTTTTCTGGACCTTGACAGTGTAATTTACTTGGCAGTCAATGGAACAGTCACAAGCCTCCCGGTTTTCATCCAAAATATCTTAAATTGTGTTCCGAAGACGAACGAAGCTTTTACGGGTTTGGAACGACATGGGGTGGGGGGGAGTGATTAATGACAAAATTTTCATTTTGGGGTGGAGTAACCCTTTAAATCACTCACTGTATTGACAGCATTTTCATATACACCTTAAACACAATATGCGTTTTCAGAAGTTTTTGTTACATTATAATAAATTAAAGAAGTTTGTTTTATTAGTTTTTTGTTGCATTGCATTCAGTATTCATTTTTTAACAGTTCCATTAACAATTATAATACTACTTCTAAGGAACCAGAATGGTTACGGGGAAGTCGTGGCCTAATGGTTAAAGAGTCGGACTCGTAACCCAAAGGTTTGTGTTCACAGTGTGTGTGTGTTCACTGCTGTGTGTGTGCGCACTTTGGATGGGATAAATGCAGAGCACTAATTCCGAGTATGGGTCACCATACTTGGCCACATGTCACGTCACTCACTTACATTTTTTATGATTCCCATCCCTAACCATAATTACTCACTAAGTCAGGGCTGTCCAAACTCGGTCCTGGAGGGCCAGTGTCCTGCAGAGTTTAGCTCCAACTTGCCTCAACACACCTGACTGGAAGTTTCTATGCCTAGTAAGAGCTTGATTAGCTGGTTCAGGTGTGTTTAATTAGGGTTGGAGCTAAACTCTGCAGGACACCGGCCCTCCAGGACCGAATTTGGACAGCCCTGCACTAAGTCATAAATAATGTTATTACAAGTGAATAATAATACTGGATCATAACAAAGGGGGAAAATAGGTCAAACAGGTAAGGTTTTGGTGGTAAATCTGTATTTATGTTGAGGTTAACATTCAAATACAAACAGACAAAGCATATGATGAACAAACAGCAGACATGACCTGGAAAAAGATTAGACAGCGTGTGGAAATGAACATCTCTCAGAACATCTTACTTCTACTCTTATCACATCCCGTCATACTTGCACCTGTTAAACATCATCTTTTTCATATGAAAAATATCAGTAATATTCAATGGCTTAAAAAATATGCTTAGTATGTAAAACTATATCTGTACAGCATCAATAAATTCAAACAATGATTTACTTCACTTAGTAAAAATAACAAATATCTTTCGAATATTTTGCACCTGCAGACAAAATGTGTTACCAGACAACAGCCTGCCCAAATAATCCCAGCTCTTTAAAATGCACTTCATAATTAAAAACGAGTTACCACATGATTTAGCAATAATATGCACCATCTCTTTGAAAGCTTCATTATATGATGTTAAATAACTCAGTGTTTCCTCTGTATTATTCATATGGAAATGTACTCTACTCAAACAGTCAGCTAAATTGATCTGTCTCTCTAAAATGTATGTTTCAAACATACATGGCACCCAGATATTCTGGATCGCAACACTAGCGATAGCAACATATCTAGGAATGTATTCATAATTCTAGCTAATATGTTTAGTTTTGGTCCTCCACTTAATCAGTTAAAGGCCCCGTCATTACGTTTACATCACATACAGAGTAACACGAGCGTGTTCATTTTATAGAAAGTGTCTTGAGCGAAAAACTCTTACTGTAGCTAATTTTACACATGTTCCTCTGGTGTAGCAGTTGTGCAACAATTACAAATCCTACCCAAAATATAAAAATGCAATAAAAATTAAATAAAGCAAAAAAATTGAGGTTCCAGTACATTAAATGCTTCTTTAACTGCATGACCATCTGTAAAGTTAGTCTTCAAGTGTAGTATGTCCCTAATATTCTTTTACACCTGCATTTCCACAAACACAAAAGAAGCAGACTGTGTATCTTCATACGATGCAATGACTTGCTCATAAACTCAGTAACTGTGCGTTAAGCATTGCATAAAAGACACAACAAGACAAGCATAAGGCCACAAAATTGAACGTTGAAAATAAAAATGATGTAAAAGCGCATCCGTCAGTGCTGCAAATAAACACACACAAGTGTGTGGGTGTGTACTGTAGAACAGAAGGTTTCAAATCCGCCACAAATGAACATCCGAAGCCCGCAAAAGTGTTTTCTTTACATTCAGGATGTGCATCATAATGTCCGATAGGCAGGAACACTCAGCAGTCTGCCAGTGAGCTGTGAACTTATTTGAGGAGTTTTTTGGGTGTGTTTTGTTTCTTGTTCTGCCAGAGGTGGCTGTAGATGGTGATGGCGTCCACACTAGCTGACATGGTCTTGGCGGGGATTTTGCTGAACTGTTTCTTATCCGAGCTGTACTTGTAGAGGTTTTCGATCATTTTGGGTGTGATGGTCTTGGGCCCGATGCCAGCCAGCTTGTTGATCTCCTCCGCCTCTGGATAATATGTGTACAGAGAACGAAACTGGCAGCCAGTGTCTCTGAACAGAATCAGGAAGTTGTTGGCTTCGGTTTTCTCCATTTCCTGGGAAAAATAAAACAAATACTTACAAATATGAAATAATTATTATTCCCCTTCAGGTTTTAAATGACAGTCTAGACCTCTACACCAAGTAAATCACAAATTATTTATTTAAATAGGACTCATGTAACATTAAATAATACATAAATAAATAAATATTTATTTGTTACATAGATTAAAACTTTTAATTCTCTACATTAATCAATTAGAATGTTCTACAGCAATGATTTTGCAACTTTTTTCCCCTCACATCCAGGATTTTGTTCTTCTGTCCCTCGTTGACGCGGCCTGCGAGGCAGCAGTGAGCCAGTGCGTTCTGGATGATGTATTTATTTGATTTAGCACTGGGCTCCTTAAACAACTTTGGCCCTTGAGAGGAAGAGACATAAGAATTAGATGAAGAGATCAACAATTGTGTGCAGAGTATTTGTTGAGGGTCAAGGTTATGACAAGGTTATCATAAGGGTCAGTCAATTCTACCCATTTTAAATGCCACTGCCATAGTTCAGTGTATTCAGTTTAATGTTGGAGTAAATGGCATACTGCTTGTTGGAAGCTGATATACATATAAAATACTGTAAACACGTTCTTCCACATCAAGATTTTAGGTTAAAATGTCATTTTTCTGGATTTTAAATAACTTTTTTTTTTTTTTTGCAGTTCATTAAAACAAATTAATTTTTCAAAGTACAAACATTCAATATACGCTACCATTAAGAAGTTTAGGGTTAGTAAGATTTTTGAAAGAAATCAATACTTTTATTCAGAAAGGATCTAAAAAGTAACAGTAAAACACTTATAATGCTACAAAAGATTTGTTAAAAAAATGCTGTTCTTTTGAACTTTCTATTCATCAAAAAAATCTTGAAAAAAGTGTGACAGTTTCCACAAAAAATTTAAAGCCGCACAAATGTTCTCAACATTGATAATAAGAAATGCAAATCAGAATATTAGAATGATTTCTGAAGGATCATGTGACACTGAAGACTGGAGTAACGGTTGCTGAAAATGCAGCTTTGCATCACAGGAATAAATAACATTTAAAAAATATATTAAAATGAAAATCAGTTATTTTAAATTGTAATATATTTCACAATAATACTGTTTTACTGCATTTTTGATAAAATAAATGCAGCGTTGATGAGCATAAGAGACTTCTTTTAAAAACAAAAGAAAAAGTGTTTATCATAATGATAAAAGTACAAATATTTTTAGATGCAATACAGCATGTCACACTGCAGGACTGTCATGTCACCTGTGTATTCTGCGTTAGACGCTGCAGACGATGTTGATTCGAGCTCCCAGTTCTCCCCGTTTCCACTTACGGATGGACACGGTGACAGAAAGCCCTCTGTGGACTCTGGTCTGAAAATACATAATCAGACACACTTAAAATAGCTCTTTTATAAAGCCTGAATTACTAATTTAACAGGTGGCCCTTATTGCAGCTGGAAAAAGCAATGTTTCATATAAAATCAACCTCCCAAAAACCAGTAGTAAGCATAATTCCACACACACATGTTGAGAAGCTGAAGGCAGTAAAAAAGGAAGCGGAGCATAGATGAAACTGAAAATAGAGTACTCATTGAACTAACCAATGTTGTAACCAGGTGCAAGTTTCCAGCAACTAATTCATCAAGTAATTTAAAAAGCCCACAGTGAAAGAAAAAATTCTGCATGACTTGTCATAGAAGTAATAGCCAATCAGAACGCTGTTTAAAAAATTTGAGCATGATTCTGAGCAATGCAGAGCATTATTCTGTTGCAACCAGATGGACTGACAAAATGTCTTGTCGCTTGTCATTTTTTGCTGGACAGAAACTAACATGGAAGATTATATAATTATATAAACTATAATTTATCACTTGCACCTAGTTAAAGGGATAGTCCAACCAAAAATGAAAAAAACAAACACAAAATAAGATATTTTCAGGAGTGTTGGTAAGCAACAGTTTCTGGTCCTATTGACTTCCATAGGATTTTTGTCCATACTATAGAAGTCAATGGGACCCGAAACCATTTGGTTACCAACTTTCTACATAGGGTTGTCAAAAAGTACTGACTTCGGTACCAGTCGGTACCGAAATTTTAAAAATGAGACAATACCAGCATTTCCCATTGGTACTGAATTCGGCACTTTTTGACAATCCTAAAACGACTAAATATCTCTTTGTGTTCTACAGAAGAAAGTCAGTCATACAGGTTTGGAATAAAATTTTAATTTTTGGGTGTACTATCCCTTTAAGACAATGCTAAACTGAGTTTCATAAACAATTGCTAAAAAATGAGCCATTTTCTGGTGCTACTATGATAAATTAGCCAACAAAAATCACTATAAAAAACAAATAAATACTGTAATATAACAAAATATGAACACAAGAAAACAAAGACTGCCACTGATTGATTTATAACAAATGATTCAAAGATGAGAATTATATAACAGCTTATTATGTTCCACTAATATGCTGATGAACCAGTGAACTGATCTGTCCAAGCGGATGAGTTTGTCCAGCGCCCAAGCTGAAATGACAAGCCGTCGGAGGCCTGTGAGCTAATGACATGGGTGTGATGCTGTCTGCAAACTGACCTTCCCTTTCTCCCTTTAGGGGAGCTCAGAAAGAAATACAGACTGCCAGGAGACAGTCTGCTGCCTCTGAGCAACCATAGAAAAGACAAGAGATACCATAGACAGAGGGTTATGAACAAGACAACAGAGATGTGTCTCAGTACTGGTTAATACAAGAGTGTGACATTTATAGTCTCGACAAAAACTATCATTATTTTTTCTGTTATTGAATGATTTTTTACAGGGAAGGTAACAGTAACTGTGGACGTGGTCTCACCTGGATGTCCTCTTATCTGATTTGACACTCTCATTGTCTGCCAAATTAAGCGAGGCGAGTGATAAGCTGGACACGGAATATCCACGAGGTCGTGACCCTGAACACACAAATACACATGCATATACATGCACATAATTGGCATGCATTTTCTTTTAGAAGCCAGTTTCAAATGCACTTTTGATTTCACAAGAACAAATTAAGTGTACTATTTTTAATTAAAATATAAAAATGTTAATAAAACATAAAATGTAGATATATAATTATTAACATTATTAAGATACTGTACAATTAGATATTGTTATATTACTAAAGTATATTATAAAGTGTCTAATAATAATTGTTTTTAATAATAATAATATAAAAATAATTACAATTAATCAAAAAGTTATATTTTAATGATTTTAATATTGTAAAAAAAAAAAAACAGTAACATTGACTCAAAGGCTGACAACCTGGATTCCAACATCGTACCTGTGGTTGTCCGTGCTGGAGGCTTTGAAGACTCCATGATGTCTCTGTGCATAGATTTGGGGCGTGGCTTCTTCTGCTTGATACTAGAGGGGCGTGGCTTAATAACACTGTCCATGTCCTCCATCAGTTTGAGCTGCTTCTTCCTCATATATTCATTTTTTATAAAATCCCGTCTTGCCTTCTCTTCCTCTTTCTTCTGGCGTTCTTCTTCCCCTTTCAATCTGATTAAGGAAGCAGACAATCCAAGTACAATGAACAAATTTCCTTGAAATCTTGCTTTTACAAGTTTAATGGCTTTTACAAACCATTTTAGATTCATTTAAATACAGAACTAAAACTGGTGAATGTTGAATGGAGCATATTCCAGTGACTAGTAATTTCAATGAATTGGTTCAACTTTTAATTTGTCATCACTCAGAAAAGCTCTGGAAAGATCTAAACTTCAAATGCTTTACAATATTTTAGTAAATATTGCATTTTATTACTACATATACTGTTGAGTATAAATGAAAAGAATTAGTTCTCCCTATATTTATTTAGTGATAAACAGTGTGAAAAACATACTTTGAATATGTTTTGTGTATATTTTTGTAGATTTATTTTACTGTTTGTTTTTTTCTTCACACATTTTAATTATACTCTGCAACTGTGACTGTTTAGTCAAAATGCCAGTTTGTTCACCTGCTTTAAAAACACCTATATCTCTAGCGCACTTTGATTTCTGTGAGTATGACGTGCTGAATTAGCTACAGTTTCTGTGATTGTGTGGCTTAGTTTACTGTGATCGTGTAGTTCTCTGTTATCGTGTGGTATTGTTGGAGTTGTGGTGTTTTTCATACCGTGCTGCTTCTTTCTTTTGTTCCATCTCGGCCTCCTGTTGCTGTTTCTTGATCTGCATCTCTTTCTCCCGCCGAAGCCTTTTTTCCATCAGAGCTGCTTTCTTCTGTGCAATATCCTCCTCTGCCTTCAGGTCATCCTGAGTCACAGCAACACAAACAAACAATCATTCAGTATGACACAGAACCTCATGTGCAGCTGGGTGTACAAGACAATGTCTCTCCCAGAACATTGTGTTGTGCTTCATAGTAAATGACAGAAAACTCAAACACAAATTTTCAAAATACAAAGATTCTATCTCAAATGAGCGCTTACTTGAAACTACAAAGACGTGCTGAAGCACTTGGACAGAGTGCCATACACTGTCACCATTCGTGTCAAATACAAAGAATGAAAGTGTTTTGTTAGTTTGAAATAAACCCCTGGTTTTGTATATTTTAGAGAAATATTGTCAAGCATGGTAGTAAAATCTGCTAATTATTGTAAATACCTCAAATAAGTTCATTCTTTTTTTTTATTTCATTGTTTAAATGTGTGGCAGGATTTTTCAATCTTTTAGATGCCACGGACCCCTAAATATGATCATTCTCTTGTGAGGGACCCCCATCCTAAATGTTAAAATGCAGTAAAAAGGCAATATACTATATTTAAAAGGCAATATATTTGTATGTATAAAGGCCCAATTCATACTGTGAAATTAATATTATAAATATGTGTAAAATATTATTTGGAAGTGGTAGTTTCTATTACATTACATTATTACTCTTTTCTACTGTACTGTTACTGTACTGTTAGCTGTATTTATTAAAAAAAGATTTTGTATTATTTATTTTATTTGGTTTTCTTTTTTTAATAATTATACAATTATTTAGTTTATTTATTTATTTTTACTTTTGTACTCTTGTTTTTCTCTAAACTGGGGATCCCATTTTGAAAACCCCTGATTTAGACAACTTTTCTTTATATGAGAGTGTTTTCTGCTCTCTAAATCTTCATACTTCCTATGTAATTATCTAAGTCTCACCCTATAGAAGAAGCCACAGCACATTTTCTGGTCTGGTCCAGTCTCTGTTTCTCTGCTGCTCTCCAGATCATGTCCATCCAGAGGCTTCAGAACAGAGAGAGGAACCTCAATCAGATCCTTCTTCTCATGCGATTCTTCTTCATTTGCGTGTCCACTGGCCGTTACCGCTGGCGCATTCATGATTTTTTCTCTAACGTCTCTAGCATCCTGTTTTTCTTCTCCCTGCTTTTCACTCACCTGAGCAGATGGTGAATTTGCAGCTGCTTTTAGTGCATCTTTGGACTCTTGCTTACATGGCTTTTCTCTTGCTGTGTGGTCCTCACTCGAAGGTCCCTCGCCATGTCCCAAATAGGCGAATGAGCTGGAATGCGTCTGACTTGGCAAAAAGCGTCTAAGTCGAGGCAGGCTGTCTACTGACTGTGGCGTGTTAAGCATCCGGCTAAAGGGGGTAACCTTCAGGTCGTTGGGCCTTGGCGTTCGTGGCGTCCTTGCGTGGAAAGACGCAGACTTCCTTTTGATCGTAGAGGGCGAACGGTGTGTTGTGCGTGGCGAACCGGTGGACGACAAAATGGGGGAGAGCGACCCCACCGAACCTCGGCCAACTACGCTGCTGCTGCGCAGTTCACGCAACTGTTTGCGTGGCGACGGATCCGGTGGCGAAATCACCCAACTTTGGTGTTCGCGCATCTGCATGATGTGTTCCTGCTGCTGTGCCAAGCGCTGCATCTCTGACTGAAGGAAGCTCAGAGACGTGTTCAGGTGCTCGATGGATCGCGTATACTCCCCCAGATCCACCTCCACGGCTGCTTCCTCCAGAGGTGATTTCGGCGGTGCGCCGTCAGGTCGACATCTCTCAAGTCTAGAATCCGAGTCATTCGAATTCAAAGGTGTTTTTGGGGGTTGTGGGTCACTGGTTTGTTTTTCCCGACCATCTGGGCCTTCACTGTCGCCCCCTAGTGGCGACACGACTCCTTTACGCCTGACTACATTGAGGAAGGCAGTCCTGCCCATGCGCTGCCTGTGACGCGTAAAAGCCGCTTCGACTTTCTTCTTCTGCGCCTCAATGGCTCTGCGTTTCTCTTCCAGCTTCATCTTCAACTGCACCATCTCCGACGCCAACAGGTGTGAGGGATCACGAGGGGAAGTGATGCGAGAGGGGCTATGTGTGTCAGGAGTAATCGAACGAACTGTCCCGGTCGCTCCTGGGGTTGTGACGTTCAGGTCGCCGCTCTCAGGCGTGTTACCACCACTCCCGCTGCTGCGGCCATCGCCGTGGTTTAGTTTACGAAACTTCTGTTCGGCAAAGCTGGTCATGCGAACAGCAGAACCCAATGAGGAGGCCATGCTGGTGGCCAGGGAGTGCGTTCCCAAAAGGCTTGGGCACGGGCTGCCGGATGTCTCCGGAAGTGGACAGGAACGAGCTTCGTAGTCCTGGTCCATGTCTGAATAGTCCTTCAGGGATGAATCCTCATCCTGTCCATCCTGGATATCCTCAGTACGGACGTGGATTCCGGTGTCCATGTCAGTAGAGGTGGAATTTAGGTCCACGTCATCTACTGCTCTGGCCTTGGAAAGCGAGTCCTCTGGATCGTTTGTATCAGATGCGGAGTTGTGGGTAGATGGGTTGTGGAGGAAAAAGGTGCTGTCCCCAGATGGGGGCTGCAAGCTGCTGTGGGGTCGCTCATAGTCATGTATGATCTTCAGGGCTTCTTCTATACTGGGGGTGTTGGGCTGAGGGTCATAAGGAGGGCTCGAGTTGTCTGCCGATACACCATTTGAGTACCTGAAACATAGAGTATTCCTTCAGTTTTAGTGAACTCTCAACATTTGGATAACTATTACTTCAAAATAAAACAGCTTGCCACTGAATACAATACTTAATACTTTCTTCTATATTTCTACCGCCTAAAGAAAAGAAGATATAAAGCAGCCTGTCTCAGAAGCTAATCTACAGTGAAAATCAGAGCCATGGTTTACGGTATATTTATACTGAAGCAGATTGATTGAAAAAGCGTGGGCATTTGTAATGCATTTCTACAGAAGCCAAGCTTCATGCTCGTGTGGTGGATTGTGGGATTGATAGCAGACTGGATAAAGTGTTAAAAGCATTCAAAAGTTGAGAAATTCTCAACTTTATGCAAACAGCAGCAAATGTCTGCAAGGTTGAGGTAATGGCGTTTGTCTTAAACATTTCTATGCAGACTGTGCTGGAGTTTCAATTGGATTTACTGCATAAGTGACTGTTTACACATTGCAAATTTTACATGTATGCAAAATACTGCAGATTGGCTTTTCAGTGGGTACTGAATTGAGTCGGTATTTGATAATACTGCAGAAAGACTGGTATCATCACCTTTTTATAATTTCAGTACCGACTTAACAAAGGTCTTGTACTAGTATGGACTGTGTATGTTGTTTTTATTGTGCTTTTGTCATTTTGACACTGTCCTTCTCCATTCAGCTCCATTCAGTCAAACTTATTTTGTGTTTCAAAAAACACAAGGGTTTAAAACAACATGAAAAGTGGGTAAATAATGATTTTAATTTTTGGTGGAACTGTAGGTTTAAATGTGACAAAAAGGCAGAAAAGATTTACCCAGCGTAGTTTCCCAGACGATGTCTGCTGATCTGTCTGTTGGATTCCTCATCATCCTCCTCACGTATTTTGCTGTGGGCGTTCCCATTAACGGGCTGGAACGAGAGGTTCCTTCGCATTCCTCGTGCCGCGTGGTGAACTTTATAACCCAATCCTTCAGTGCTTGCCGATCGGCTCAGTCCACGTCCCGAAGATGAACTCATGCTGTTGTCAAGTGGAATCTCAAATGATATCCCATGAGCTGAAGACCTGAGGTGAAGACAAACAGTTACTCATCTGCAGCATGTAAAGACAGAGTAAGAGAGTCAAAGGGATAGAGAGTTTGTAGAGGGCACAAACCGTTTCTCTTTAGGCCATGTCGCCACACATCCGTCCACATACGACGAGGACGACCGCCTGATAACTGCTGTGAGAGAAAGAAATACCCATTTAATTACATAAAACAGCAAGTTTATTGTTTATTCAGTGCATTCAAGCTATACATTGCATCAGTGTGTGTGCTAAAGCCATGTTTTTCCTGTTGAGCTACAGGAGACATAAAACTAATGAGAGGTTACTCTTGTAAGTTCTACAAAAGTGTGACTTAAAAGTCTTACCTGAGTTGTCATTTTTAGGTTGTGACCTAAAAAATGAAATTGTTTGGAATATAAATTCATCCCATGCATGTACCATAGTGCTTGTAGCCGAAGCTAATTTGCAACACTTGTCCCTAGGAGGGCTTTTATAAATTACAATAAACAAGTAGTACACAAATTTATAGTATAAGTACACTAAACATGACTACAGATTACAATTCTTTGTAAACCTCAAACTTGCATTGTATTAAAGACAAACCTAGACTGATCCGGACTGCCTGACCTGTGGATCAGGTTTTGTTTGGTTATGGGAGCCATTTTATTGGACTGGGATGGGTCAGATACTACAAAAGAAGAGGTAAACAAAACTGGTGATAATAAAATAATATATAACACCAAATATAATGACACCAGATGAGACAGACTAGTGCTGGGCGGTATACCGGTTCATACCGAATAGATCATAAATGAGAGTGACTCCTGGTTAACATGTATTAAAAGGGGTCGTGTTTAGTCACTATTTAGTGTAGTATTTTTTGACAATATTCACTCATCATGCCAGTAAAATAGGGCATTCTAAGTCAATATACTACAGTATTTCCTCTCTCAATCAGTAGAAAATATGGTTAACACCCAGTCATGCATGAAAAAAATAATACCGTCATGTACCGTGAGACCGGTATAATTTTGAAAAATACCGTGATATACATTTTTGGTCATACCGCCCAGCACTAAGACAGACCTTACCTTTGGTATTGAGTGTGCGGGGCTGAACAAAAGATGGTTTCACAACTTCACACCACCAGAATAGCTCTGCCATAAACACAAGGTAGTTACTCTGAAAACACACAAACAAACTCAAATTAATGAGAAGAAAATGATAGAAAACTTTAAACAATCTCTCTTCAATCTTTAAAAACATTGAACAAAGTGCCTGCCATGTCTGTGATGTGTCTTGCAATGTTCCTCTATAACCACAAGATGTCAATGTTCTCCTATAGATTGTAATAGACTCTTACTAACTTCAAAAAGCAAGATAAGGGCTACTGTACATATATACTGTGCAGTATATACAGTGTACTGCCTACTACTTTTAAAAAATGTGCAGCGCTCACTTTTAAAAATTATGAAACGGTGAATTATTACTTTAGGTATTCTTTGCATACAGAAATTTTCCATACTACACTCATTATACATACTATATACTGCATGAGAAATATTTAGGTTTCTCATGTGATCTGAACATGGTGGCAGTGAAGCCTAGATTCTGATCACCCAATAGGTATCATAACATTCTGATGTGACAGAACACACAAACACAAGTTTAAGCTATTTAAATAGCGGAATCACTGCAAAATAACTGACTGTCCTTAGTGTATAACATAATATAGAGCATTTATTGAAAGCAACAGTGCAGCAACCATAAAAAGAGTCTCTTTCACTGCATCAAAGGGTGTTCTGACCCAACAAGAGCAACAAAGCAACCGGGGCAGGCTGACACGAACAGAACAGACCCAGCACTCTCTGCTGATTTATTCAGTCCTGACACCTTTATTTCACCATAGTTAGTGGCTGTGTTAGCCTCATGAAAAAAGGCTTCATTTAGTGAAAAACACACCACTTAAGCCCTAAATGACCAAAGAAATCAGATGTACCTTTGTTTTACTGGACAGCATGTGATTGGCTGAAGCAGCCGACAAGCATTTTAACCTGGTTTACATAATCGACCACAAACTCATCTGACATAACGGCAAATCCATGACTGCCAGTTTGGAAAATGTAACACATTTTCTTTAAAAATATGCTATGATGGTGGCACACATGAACACAAACACACATGGACTGTGATTTTCTACACAAACCGCTTAAAGGTTTTGAGTGTCATTTGCACTTATATATTGTTGTTTGTCTTTACTACTACTTTTAAAAAATGTGTGGCGCTCACTTTTAAAAATGATGAAACGGTGAATTATTACTTTAGGTATTCTTTGCATACAGAAAAATTAAATAATAATTTATGAATAATTTCAACACTGTTCCAGTGTTAATTAATTAAAATTAATTAATAATTTCGTTTAAAGTGTCATTTGCATTTATATATTGTTGCTCTTTTGTTAGTTCCTCTTTTGGAAGGCCAAACAAAGTAGTTTCGCTTTCACAAGGAAACACACAGCGTCTCCGCGACATGATGGCGGCGGCAACAACAATACTACAGCTAAAATAAAAGTTACGCCTTCTTTCTTTGCGTGAACATTTGGGCGGTGTTATGCAAATCTTACCACATCGTGACGTAGATATGTGGGGGCGTGTTAGAACGAGTCGTTTTAGGTAGGCGTGGTTAACTCTTAACTTTTATAAAGAATATCTCTTTGGATTTGAGACTTTAGTCTTTGCAACTTTACAGATCTTCTTTATGCACCAAGAGCTTGTAACACTCCAAAGAGAAAGGAAAAATTGAAATCGTATAATATGACCCCTTTAACTGTCTGAGGCGATCCACTTGGCAGCGCTCTCACATACACACAAATGATGACTCAGTCCTCCCAAACCGTCAGATTTAAAACACGCACTGGTCGGCTTTCCTTTCCTGCATCAGCCCTGATGAAATTCCCTGTAATACTCCAGGCAGTGATCATTCATTCATCTTGGCCTCAAACTAAAAAAGGATATTCAGTGGAAAATCCCCACAGAAAGCGCTGAGAATCTGTATCCTAGAAACCATGTAAAGTTTGCATTGCAACACTGAACCAAATAGGAAACGCGTGTCTTATTCATTGTGTTGAAACATCTGAGAAAACTTCAGATCCTAAATCATACCAGGAAAAAGTAATATTAAAATTAGTACAAAAAATAATAATAAAATAATAATAAAATCAGCACATCACATTAATTTCTGAAGAAAATCAGAGCAGTGATTGTCATGCAACAATCATCATCAAAACATGTCAAGATGATCTATCAAAATAAAATCCATCAATAAATCTTTTAGTAAAATGGCATCAGTAAAAACTAAAGACATTTACATTTGTTTATTTACAAAAAATAACTTTCCTTCTCTGCATTTCTCCTTCTTCTTGCTTCCTAATCTAGTTGGCAAATAAACCTGGCATTGTATATCACAAATATTGTTGGCTCCTCATCGAATTGCTTTTGTCCCTCTTTTGTAAGTCGTTTTGGATAAAAGTGTCTATTAAATGCATAAATATAAATGTAGTGAAGAGAAGTAAACTGTACTGACGTCAGGTTTACCTTGATGGTGCTGGAGGCATACAGCATGTCCTCCAGGGTGAAGTGACAGCAGTTGTTGAGGTTTTCTTTGCAGAACTCCTGGATCAGCTGGAGGTTGTACATACTGTCAGCCAATGACATCGTTTCTTTGACACAGAAAAAATAACTTTCCTTCTCTGCATTTCTCCTTCTTCTTGCTTCCTAATCTAGTTGGCAAATAAACCTGGCATTGTATATCACAAATATTGTTGGCTCCTCATCGAATTGCTTTTGTCCCTCTTTTGTAAGTCGTTTTGGATAAAAGTGTCTATTAAATGCATAAATATAAATGTAGTGAAGAGAAGTAAACTGTACTGACGTCAGGTTTACCTTGATGGTGCTGGAGGCATACAGCATGTCCTCCAGGGTGAAGTGACAGCAGTTGTTGAGGTTTTCTCTGCAGAACTCCTGGATCAGCTGGAGGTTGTACAGACTGTCAGCCAATGACATCGTTTCTTTGACACAGATATCTGGAGGGAACAAACCACATAACAGCCAATGATGTTATGAGTAGATCTGAGGGGGCGGAGACACAACTGAAGTAGAAGCTAGTGGAGTTTCATAAAGTCTGTGAGGGCGGGACCAGGATGTGTGATGTAATGAGCAGAATCCTCAGAATCATGGGGTTGAGATGTGTTTATGTTTGAATAACTGCTCCTCTGTTCTCACTCAAACTTCCATTCACGCACTCCTACTCACTCTGTCTGTTCCTTTCGCTCATTTCTTCCTCCACCCTTATTCTTATGAAATTATGACTTTTATATAACAAGGACGTATTACATTTATCAAAAGTGACAAAGACATTTGTAGTGTCATCAAGTGGCTTTAGTAGAACAAATAATTGTCTTTAAAAATCGAGCGTAGCGTCAGTTCTGGCAGGTCACGTTAGTCAAGCTCGCATCAGCTGACTCTCAGCTGATCCCCATCAACCTATGGGAATACGACACCTATCTAAGTATTCATAGTGATGGGAAGTTCGGTTCTTTTCCGCGAACCGGTTCTTTCGGACAGTTCGATTCAATAAACCGGTTGAAAAAAACGGTTCACCGGTTCTTTTACGCTCG